TCCAGAACGTGGCTGCTCACCAGCATTTGGCAAGGCAGTGACATCTTGTCACCGCTATCCCTGAGCACTGAGGCCCACACAGGTAACACCGACCAGTTGGCTGGGGCAGGATGCAAGGCAGGGTGGGAAAGCAGAGGGAAGACTGCCAAACTTCTCCCAGGGAAAGTCACAGCCATGATTCTTCAAAATCATCTGCTCCAATGTGACATTACTCCTGACTGCAAACAGAATCGAGTCTCCGAAGCTGTTTACCAGTTACACTGATGTGGGTTCAGTCTTCCCTATCTGGGTAGCCAAGTCTGCACTGGTAAATAAAGAGTGAGTACATAAACTCTTAGCAAAGGAGAAAACCATCCACTTTCAGTAAAGCTTGATCCTGCCACAGAAGGCTGTGAGAGAGCTTTGGAGCTAAGTAGTGACTGTTGGGAGGGTGCCTAGAGCTGGAGGGAAAAAAAAACCCAACATATAAAAAGGAAGTCTGTTTTTACATTTAATTCCTCCTGGGTCCAGAGAAGCAGGGGTTTATATTTTCATTATAAATAAGCTAGAAAGCATCTACATAGTGGAATCCATATTCCCAGTTGGGAAGAACCTGCAGGTCAACTATGGTCAACTTTCCCTTTGAAAGCATTACCATTACAAGTTAGTGAACAATTCACGGGTCCTTTTGTTGTAGCCACGTTATTCACAGCTCAGTGCCACTCTGCTGCCTTCTTTCACCCACAGGGATGCCCAGACCTTTGATTTCAGAGACTGCTGCAGGGCATCAGAGTTCTCCATCCAGAAGATCATGAAGATGCTTCGTACTGATGCTCCTTTCCCTGTCTGAAAATTTTTTCTACTGCCTGAGTCTTCCAAGCCCTTTGAATGTTTCCCCTTTTCTAGGAAACACACAAGTCCTGTGCTACTGTGTAGTTGCTGGAAACATCACAACTGTCTGCAACTTTTACACAGGTGAGAATTCACTGCAATCTCCTACACGAGTTGAAGTTTGGTGCTGTGGCCCAGCTTTCCCCTGAGGTGGGTGTTAAGTTTGGCAAAAGGCTGGCTGATTGCAAAGTGATGTTGCCCATTGACCCAGTATGGTAATTGCACATCAAAAATACATTTGAATAAAGAGGTTCAAGAGACATTTTATTAGAGCAGCCACAGAAAAGTTAAAAGTCATGTTCCTCTGCAGGACACAGTCCAAGCCTTCTATACAGCAGCCATCAAAGTGGTATTTTTTCTGCCTTTGCCCATAACTCTCCAGCAAAAATAAAACTGCAGGTATGCTTCCACAGGAGAACCTTTATCTTCTGCCATTTCCAAACTAAGTGGCTGGAATCAGTTATGTAAGAAAAAGGAAATTTGAATTTTATTTTGCAAGTACAAACTTAAACCAAGCGAACTGTTATTTGTATTTTATTTGCTCTATAAAGGCCTAGGCGTACAAAGAACTTTTTACTGGATATAAAACCCCACATTTTCTTTTCAGGTGTCCATAGGAACACTAGTTTAGCTGAAAATAAATATAAAACCTGCAAAATACCTTAATTTAGTTTTGCTAAGAATTATAAGGATGGAGGTAAAGGGTAGACTAGTTCCTCTTTATTTCAAGCTTGTTGCTTTAATTCCATGTTGCATATGAAGCAACAAACAAAAACTCTATGGAATGTAAAAAGTTCCTATGCCTACAAAAGCCTTAACAACACCACACTGAGCTGAAGAACAACGGCACTGACATGAAAGGATTTTCATTTCTAAGAAATACCTGGCTACATCGGAGTTTAAGAAAACACGCATTCCATCCCCTTCTGCAGGGCTGATTTCCAGCAGCACAGACCTACTAACCCCAAATGAGCTTCCTCCCTGGGAGTCTGAGCTGCAGCAGCACAGGGCACTCCAGGTGAGACAGTGGGATGGAGACGGGGTGGTAACTTGGGTCTGGGTGAAAGAGGAGAATCTGCATTTAATAGCACAGAGTAAGTACTATGCTATGTTTAAAATACTGTTCCCAGCTCACAGTGACAAACTGCATTCTCCACTAACCACAATTTAGAAAATGGTAAACTCCCTTTTTCATACTCACAGTGCATTAAGGTACAAACAAAATTGCTGCTTCCCAGGTTCTTCATCTCTGAATCTTTCTTAGACTTGTATCCTAAAGGTTCATTTTTCCAAATGGCATAACTTTGGCAGAGGTTGAGGTCGGTGCACTCCCAGATTGCATACTGCCTATCCCTCCTGTAGTATTACAGGGATATGTAGATGTTCAGCACCTTGAAACCCAGGCTTGCTATTCAGCTAAAACAAATGCGCAGAGCATGAATATTACAATTACCAGAAAATTAAAAAAATCTGACTGGATTCAAAGCAAAAATAAAACTGGGAAATTTTGAAATTTCCTGAGGTGCTCTTTTTGATCAACTAGAACTTTGGCTTCCATTCAATTTAGGCATTTCTTCTGTAGTACAATGAAAAATACAAACTACATTGTGATTAATATAAAAGCATTTTTTCCAGACGGGAATGCCGGAACATATCTATTGGGTTTTTTTCTCAAGCATATATTTTAGCAAGTATGATTTTCCAAAGCAGTTAATAATCAGTGGAGCTGTATTCTCCAACAGAAAGAGGGCTGCTTTTTTCCTAGTAGAAATTACATATTTCTATAATTTTCATAATTTAGAGTTCTGTGGTTCTACTTGAACCTTCCTGTTCTTTTTTAGAAAAAATTCAAGAAAGCCCTTTATAATAATTCCTCATGGAAGTGCCTACTCATGGTAAACCATCTAACTCAGGTCCAGTCTAGGCTAAATTGTTGCTGTATATTTTTTCATGTATTTGTGTACTTATGCAAGCCTGAATTAAAATACATGTTTTGATGGAAGAGAAAGCACACATGAAACCACAATCTAAAAACTCGTCAGCTCTGTGGAGATGTTGAAAAGGCAAAGTTCACTCGTGTCACAGTAAAGGAACAGACGGTGTGAAGAAGTGATCAGACGGAAGGTTTGAAATGAAGGGGGGAAAAAAGGAAGTTTTCCTACAGAAAGAATAATTAAACTGAACTCATTGTGAACAGACACAGTGGAACCCAAGAGGGTAAATGAACTATACACAGCTGGGAATCCAGACATACATTCGGCTTGAAAAAGCTGCCTCAGAAGTCAGGAAATTCAAAGGTAGGTGTCTCACAACAGAGTTTTTTAGGCACCTTCTCCAAAAAGATGGATACTCAAAAGAGCTAGATACCTCTTAATATGCATTTTTGTTAATAATCTGCTCAATCTAAACTATAAAACATGCTGTGCAACATGACTGAACGAATATTGCTGTGAGAAATATTTCCCCCATGTTTGAGTAATTTGAATTTGTAAGCTAATGTAAGTTTTTGTATTAAATAATGTTCTGTGTGCAATTTTCTTTCTTGTAAAGCACTTTGAAGCTTTCAAAGGGCACTCTAGGTTCATAAATAATATGGTATTCTTTGCCAGAACTGTAGGGCATTTCCCATAAATTCCAAATCTTCTTTGCCAGAATTGCAACATGTTGCATGCCAAATCCTGCACACAAATGTTCTACATGTGGCAAATACATATTGGTAAAGACCAGAGGCATGGCATTCCTGGATTTCTTAGAAAGAGTGGGGGCAGGGAAAGAAGTGGGAAGGAATAACAAGGGAGGGAAGAGAGAAAAAATGTCCGCAAATCATTTAAAAAAACCCCAAAAAACCAACAAAAACCCCCCACCCCCCACCCCAAACAACCCATAACCAGCACTTAATTATTATCAAAAGCTAAACTGTTTGCTGCATGTAGCACAAACTCACAGGTACCCAGAGCTGAGTCTTTAGTTTACCTTCAGTTATGGAAATCAGGCCTCTTTTTCTGAGATGGGTGTAGATTTTTCAAACCCAGATATTTGTATGGGTCAGAACACCTGCAATCCCCTCTCCTCCCAGAACACGCCAATGGAAACAGAGTGGCTGCGAACCTGGAGCAGCAGTCAGGACTGCCACCACTCCACAGGCTGTGACCATGAATCCCCTTCTTCAGGCAAAGAGGTGAATGTATTTCTTATGCCCACAGCTACAGGGAATAAACCAAGGCCAGTGTTTATAAAGTGAACTCTCGCCTCTCTGCAGCCTCCCCCGTGGACAACCAAGGCTCCTGCTGCTGGAGTTTGGAAGAGAAGGCCAAGTGCCGGGTCCTGCACTTTGGCCACAACAACCCCATGCAGCGCTACAGGCTGGGGACAGAGTGGCTGGAGAGCAGCCAGACAGAGAGGGACCTGGGAGTTTGGACTGACAGGAAGCTGAACAGGAGCCAGAGTGTGCCCAGGTGGCCAAGAAGGCCAATGGTATCCTGGCCTGGATCAGGAACAGTGCGGCCAACAGGTCCAAGGAAGTGATTCTTGCCCTGTACTCAGCACTGGTGAGGCCACCCCTCGAGTGCTGTGTCCAGTTCTGGGCCCCTCAGTTCAGGAAGGATAATGAGGTCCTGGAGCGGGTCCAGAGGAGGGCAACAAGGCTGGTGAAGGGACTTGAGCACAAGTCCTATGAGGAGAGGCTGAGGGAGCTGGGGCTGTTCGGCCTGGGGAAGAGGAGGCTCAGGGGAGACCTCCTCACTCTCTACAACTCCCTGAAAGGAGGTTGTAGCCAGGGGGAGGTTGGTCTCTTTTCCCAGGCAACTATCAGCAAGACAAGAGGGCATGGTCTTAAGCTGTGCCAGGGGAGGTTTAGGTTAGATATTAGAAAGAATTTCTTTACAGACAGGGTGGTCAGACATTGGAATGGGCTGCCCAGGGAAGTAGTGGATTCTCCATCCCTGGAGATTTTTAAAAAGAGACTGGATGTGGCACTTAGTGCCATGGTCTAGTAACTGCAGCAGTAGTGGATCAAGGGTTGGACTTGATGATCTCAGAGGTCCCTTCCAACCCAGCTGATTCTATGATTCTAAAGCAGCAAGACCCAGAAATTCAATCAGTGCATTTGGCCACATATCACACAGGTTAGATTACTGAAGGGTACTTGCAGTTTAATGTGTCTTTGGTTAAGCATGAACAAAAATGTCACTAAATTTTAAGAAAATGGTGACAAAAATTCTTAATCACTCAGCAACAACCAGCTAGTTTTAAAGGTACCAGAAACTACTTAGACCTAATCAGGTGTTAAGCACCAAGAGTTGCTAAACATTTACAAACTGAAGTTAAAACTGAACTCCACATTCTGCAACACTAAATGAACGTTTTACTACCTGGTTTCTTTTGAGGTGGCAAGAAATGACTGTAAAACCATTGCTGTTGCCAGAACTACATTGCTTAGAGAAAAATATCCTGTGGGTTACCATTTGTTGCCACGATTTACAAAGATACGGTCTATAGTCTGTATCAGTTTCATGTGGAAGTTTTAAAGGGAAAAAGCCTTCTGCAGAGTTTGCAGATTTCTGCATAAGTGTCTGTGTTGTTGCAAAGAGGACCAAGTGGTGCTGTCTCACAAGCTTTTCAAGAAAGCTGGCACATTTCTTCAGATTCATCTCCTGCAAGGTAAGACTCTCCCCTCCGTTGCTTCTGTCTATCCAATAAAAAGCTGATATACTGTCTAAAAGCAGAACACAGAGCGAGGGGTGAGCGCAAAACAGGTTTTCTAAAGAGTAGAGAGTGAGCAGTAACTGAGTGCTGCTATTGCAGTTCACAAGGAAAAGCCTTCCCAGGCACTGCTTTATCATTTCCTCCGTCCTTTGTGCCAGCCTGTTCTCCAGAATGGTAACCAGGCGGAGCATGTCGAAGTGATAGTCTGTGTCAATGAACATGACTTCCACTTCCAGCCCTCCTCCCGACTTTGGAATGATGCAGCGGGCTATGAGGTGATAGAGCATTTCCGTTTTCCCTGTTCCTTCTGCACCGTGGAATTCAATGATGTCTCCTGTTCAAAAACAAGGCAGCACGTTGTCAGGTAAGAGCACTTACAGCCCAGGGTCACTTTCCAGTGTTTACTGAACCAATACTCACTATTCCACAGATTGGAACATGCATTTTGGAAAGTCTGACACGCATTAAAAATGTTTAAATCCTGGTTAGCATCTACAAAAAGACATTTCAATTTTCAAGAAAGGCCTCAAAAGTCGAAAAAATGAACTGGGAACAAAGGTTGAAAACCTCTGCCAATACCACCTAGGACACCAGTATCAGTGAAAGGTTGGCAACTGGATTTCATTGGTATTATCACAGGTCGATGAAAGCAGAGGAGGAAGATGTTATACAGAAGTGGCTAAGAAACCATCTACATTATGCACACACAATCAAGGAATAAATTAAAAAGGACAAGCATAACATAACAAAAATTGATATATCAGAGGTCCAAATCATGTTGGCACATCTATTTTTACAGCACAGCCTGTCCTTCAGCATTTCATGTCTTCTATAAGCTTGTTCAGTACCTGCACGTGTCACGAGATACCTACAGGAATCTGTGACTGGTGAAGAGAACACCAGTAGTTTTATTTAGCACTTACATTCTTCTGTGCTGATCATAATATGAAACTGCTTTTTTGGACAAAGGGGACTCAGATTCCTTCAACTCCAGGCAACACCTCTGTCTGAAGCAAAGGATCTCCGTTCATAAAAGGATTCAGCCTAATTGCCTCATCCATGTGGGTCAGTAAAATACATATCACATAAATTTAAAATGTTAATTAAAAACAGCATTCCACTTCATTAGGAAACCAGTTCTTTTGTTGGATGTGAATGCAAGATATTTTTAAGTCTTATCCAAAGTCTCCTGATGTCTTGAGCCAGAATCTAAAAAACGTTAATTTATTAGTCGCGTTTTATAAATTCTTAATTTTGGGAACTGGATTATTTATTTATGACATTTTGGATTTTAGGCAGAAGGGTAAATATGTGCAGTAAGGAGAATCACACAACTGTAATTGCAGGAAGGTGAGAGATTTCCGTGGCCTTGGCAAGTGCAAATGGCATAACAGCTTTTCATAGGGAGATGTGAGAGTAGAGAATTAATTGCAACTTTCCTTAAACGTGTTTGTGCCTGCCTGAGTTAACAGGGTTTTTCAAGTCACTGCTCAACTTCCAGAGGATGTCCTTGTTCACAAGTGTGTATAATGTCAAGATACAACTCAGGATGAGGGGCAGAGGGTGGTGGGGAAGAAACCAAGCTCTTACTTCACCCTTTGCAAGCATTAAAAGCAATTTACACCTGATGTGACAGTCTGCCCATTTCCATGGCACTCACACTGCCTGCCTCTCCATAATGGGATTCCTGCTGCTCCACGACTGCAATTCCATTTCTATGAATTTCTGATACTTCAAAATTTATTAAAAAGCTTGACTGCCTCCCAAACCTTTAGTTAGCTGTTCCAGATGGCTCACCCACTTTTGAGATGAAAGACCTTACTGGGACACAAATCTTCATTTTCTCTTCCTGTCCAGGGGTCAAATGTCCAACTCTGGCACTTGCAGCCAGTGGCTGCTCTGCTGTCCCACAGCCTGTGCCAGTGACATAACCACGCCCTGGTAGGGTGAGACACCAGCTTGGAAGAACTCCTCCTAAATGCCCTGGTAGGTCATTCCCTCATATTTCATCTATTGAAATATTTTAGAGCAATTGCGCAAGGCGCCTCTCGTTAAGGTACAAAGTGTATCTTCTGTCTGCCACTGGCTTTGTGCCACCCTGACTGGCATTTCTGAATCCACACCAGTAAGTGAATGGGGCCAACGTGCAATACAGGTGCCTCACCTGCCTTTACAGCAAAATATGACCTATTTGATTCAAAAAGTTATTCTGGGAAATAAATGCTCCACTTTTTCCATTTGAAGATGCTCTAACAGGATGTCTGTGTGCTACAGAATAACACTGGATGAGATTTTGTTATTGGCAGAACTACTAAACTTATTTAAGTAAAAATTCTAAACATTGAATGATAAAAATCAGTTTCAGAAGTTTTTGTGGTGGTATTTTTTAAATTTTGACAGCAAGTCAGCCAAGCACCCTTCAAAGTTTGTTCAACATTGCTGAAAGAGATACACAGCTGCACTGTAGTTTGACCAAGACACTGGAGTTACTTTGAAAAGAGTAACAGCTTGGACTGCAAGAAAACCTCAAGAGGGTCGGGGATTTCTGTGCCTTCCTGATTATCCCAGAGGCTGCCCACAAGAAGAATGGGTGCAAAACAGAAGCCATTTATAGCAACATCTATAAATGTAGGGTTTCACTGAATTAGCAACCAGGCTGTCAGAGTAAGATAAGAGGGGAAATTCATTCCTCTGGATGAGAGAGGACAAACCATGACACAGCAGAGGAGGAAGTGAGGCCAGCAATGTTTTCAAGAAGCCTTTGACACCCTCACAATAGGTCACAGAAGAAACTGAGTGATCAATGCTAGCATGAGCCATTAATGTCAAAATAACTTTGAAAGGAGGATTAGTAAAAAGACACTGTCACAGGACGAGAACAGGCTGAGAGGGAGAGTAAGAACAGACACTTTAAACATGGAAGAAGGTTAATGGGAATTTTTTCTATTAGAACAGGTGTTGGCAGACGTTAAACATATCAGTAGAGGAACGTTCCATTAGCTTGGCAAAACATGTAGAAGACAAACTAATTGGGTTAATAAAGACTTAAGTTTGCGAAGACTTAACAGATGGAGATGGATAAGCAGAGCGATTTCATAGGAAATTCAGCAGTGATGAATTCAAGAAGTAGATTTTAAGGAGTCACCCAACACATTGCTTGGCTCATGGTAGCTTGAACTGGCCCACGACAGGCAGACTAAAGAGAACAATAGTCCACTGCCATGAACCAGCGTGCAGGATAAGCTAAATGATGCTGCATAAATGTCAATATTTATGTAACACTAATAATATATTTTTTAACTGAAACTTTGCGCTCAGTCCTGGTCATAATTCGGTGTTATCTTTTGAATGAGAGGAGCCTTGTTTCTGTCTGTACTCATTCCACTGGCAAATGCTGGCTAAACTATTTTCTGACACCGCAGTTCCAAACAGGCTGTTGGAACACTCAGCAATAACTCTGTGGATTTCACATCATCCCATACCTTGAAGTTACTGGGCCTGTGATTTACAACAGTGTGCAGAAGCTGTCGCTAATATTTATACCATTTATAAGCAAAGTAGAAGGGCCCAATATTTATTCCAAGTTAATGTTGGGTGTCATGCTATTGCTGAACATCAGAGCTTTACACTGACACCCACACCTTCATGCCACAGGCACAGGGGAAATATGACTGGCAATAGGGGAAGATTATTTAAAGCTTGTGTCACTTTTGCTCCATTCCAGAAGAGCTTAAATGGTGTGTAATTAATGTGCTTATGTGTTCTTAAATATGCAAGTCCATCATAATTAGAAGCAGTACCTATATTACCTGTCCCTATTTTATAGTACTCTGACATGCACGTAAGGAACACTTAGCTACAATGTAACATTTGGTAGTTTATTGAAATTTCATGTATGTGTTTGTTTTAAATACCATCAAGAAAAATAAAATTTAGGTCCTTGCATTACTTTAATCACAGCATTTTAGATTAAGAGCTGTTCAGTACAGACTTCATGGGCAATCTATCACAGCATTCCACAGTGACCCACTAAAAGTCAACTTCATGACAAATGGAGAGGAAGGTCTTCAGCAGGGATTTAGGACTGAATAATGAGAACACAAATCAAAACAACACATGGGCTCAAATGAATACCGTGGTATTAAAAGACAAAGCAAAAATGTAATAGAAGGTGAAGTCTATGTATGTATATACAGCTAAAGATCTGTGCTAATATGTTAGGCAGCTTCATTGATGTCAGCCAAAAAGCATGGCAAATTATGGGTAATAATTGATGCCATTTGTTCAATGCAGAAGAAAAATACAAGTGCTTCAAAAGCTCAGTAACTCTGTTGGCACAGAGAAACCAGTGATGAATTTTATAAGGTTTCCAGCCATCTTAGAACTGAGGTTCTGGAACAGTCTTTGGTCAGACATGAACAACCTACTTAACTTCAAGAGCAAAGCAAATAATTTGACATGAAATTATGTAATGCTGTGGACTTCAGGCAATTACTAACCCTCAGGAAGGCTTCTTAAAGTCTGTTCAACCAGAACATGGCCAGTTTAGTCTCAAACATCTGTTTCTTGTGTGTAAAGTTGACTAGAAAAAATCTCAGACTAAAATATCAGCATTTTCTATTAGTGCACTTTTTTAAAACATAAAGATCTCATCTTTCAAAATAATTAAGAATTTGAGAGCCTTGTGAAGCATATACCAATTTCCTTACTGGTTCTTAATTCTTCCTGCGGATAACAAAAAGCTTCAGAATTGAGAGTATTTAAATATTCTTCTGTGCTCCACTTGCACTGGCTTACCAGTATTTCTCTGCCCTTTATCCTTGTTACGTCACATTTGAAACTTTTGGGGCAGAAATCATATACTGCTAAACTCCCTATGTATTCTCAAGTGCTGCAAAACAACACAGGAATAGTCTCACAGTGACTGTGTTCAGACTAAGCATCATCTCTCCTCCAATTATGCTGATTCTTTTTATTGCTTTTTCTGCTATTTCTTCTGAACCTTCTACATTTGAAGGAATTCAAATTGCAGACAAGTGTGCTGATAACCACTGCAGCCACACACTTGCCATATGAAATCCACTCATTCATACACTCATTCCACAACAGTAGGACCTCACCCCCAAGATCCTTGCATTTTGCCATTCATGTGCCTTTTTTCCTATATATTTCTAATTTTGTGTAATCAGAGTCATCTCTTCCATTGTGAAATTCAAGAAATTTCACACAAAAACCAATCTGACTTCCTGAATAGTGTGTTAATTTCTATTTAGCTCATAAAAACATCCAATTTTGACCTTAAAACTTCTTCCTAGAAGAATCCCCCTTAAACTTGTAGTACTGGTGTCACTGGGAGGTTGCCTGATTTCTCCAGTTTGAAATTCTCCATGAGCCACGTTGATCCAAACATTGCCCATGAACTCATTCTGCTGATTAGTGCCTATGTCCACAATGGAATTGTTTCAAAAGTTCCATCTAAGTATAATTAGGATTTTTCAGGCCACAACTGAATGGCTTGATGACCTGGCTTTATTGAAAAGTACTGTTTGCTCATGCCCCTTATCCTAAATTTTCCAGACCACTCTATATCACTGAACTCTTTGCTATTTACTGAACCTCACGTTCTTTGCAAATTTCTGCAGTTATGACTTTGTGGTGGTTGTTTAGACCACTGACTAAAAAAAACTAAGAGGTTTAATGACAGACTCTACAACAAAATGGTGTAAAACTACTAAAAACTGACCAATGTGCTTGGTACTTACTCACCTACACCTCTGTTTTCATATGCATGAAGCAGATTTTAAAGTCCACTTAATAATGTTTGGAATGGTGACTTTGCATCATTCCATTTTATCTAGTTTGCATAGAAATAAATCAACAATTACAATTCTGATCCAGGGCAAAATCATCTACTTGTAAGATTATGTCTGTCACATTGCTCTGAGCATGTTTTACACGGACATCTTTCCATAAATGGGATAAAGACACATTTTTACCATGAACAGGAGATCCCTCCTCAGCAAACAGATAAGGTTCAAGATTCTTCAGAGAGCTTCTGCCCTCGAGTCGCGCAAGCAGCTTTTAAAGACAAGACAGAGAGACACACTGTTAACTCAAAATAATGGACCTAAGGAATAAACCCTAAATCTGACAGTTTTCCATGACAGCCCTATCATAAGATTAGCCTGATTTTGAAAATGTTTTTAAAAATACACACGGAAACATATAGTCTGGACTACAGGCAGTTCCATCCTCACAGACAATGAGCACACGGATTCAACGGCAATGAGGAGTGGATATATTAGGGGAAATAAAAGCTTAAAAAGAAAAGCTGCACAGGTAGATTAGCAAGAGGGACTGCCTCTGGTACACAGCAGTGCTGCCACTGGGAAGAACAAAGGGAAAGAAGATCATTTGTAACAACCACCATCTTCACAAAAAACTACTGGTTGAGAGGTGAAACCTTACCCATCATCAATCTCCTGAGTCAGTCCCTTTGAGTATTTTTAAGTAAAACCATGTGCATTTCACCTGAAAAGTTACACAGGACTCCTCTGGGCTACAATCCTATTATATCATAGTTACTTGTTCAAACAGAGTATGGATTAAGAATGATCAAAAGTAATTAGTCACCAGTGGCCCTGCAAGAACCTTTCCAAAGCAAGCTTGAATTTGTAAAGCATGTTCTCCAAAGCCCCTTGTAAAGCAAGACCATTGTAAAACAAATTAGCTCAAAGTTCATGGACAGTTTCTTAAATTGAGAGGTATTTGCATAGCAAACAGACAGGTATTCACATAACCTGTGTTATTAGTAATTCTGGCACACTGCATAAACCAAGAATTAACATTTCCCCCAGTACCAGAGCTGTTATTCCCTACATGTATTCCCCACACATGAGAAAGGACACTATTGGGACACTCAGTGTCACCAGAGCACGTACCCTGGTGCCAAATACTTCATTCTCCAACACGCCCAGCTGTCATTTAACGATCTGAACAAAACAAATCCTGTTCAGCTTTATCCCATCCTCCTCAAGACCAAACCAGCAGTAAGCACACACCTTTAAACACCTGCTGCCTTCTCTTGCTTTCCTCTATGCCACATCCACAAGCAACATTTGCTCTGAATTGTCTTAACAGTTCTTTAAAGAGTTGTGTTTGCCTTTCACAGTAGAATAAAAGTCCATTAAATGGCCCTGAATTTACTTCAAGTTGTCACGATGGGAATCTAAGTGTGATGTTTTCATTGACATTTTAAGTCCCTTCCATTAACAAAATGTCAGCGTGTTTGCCTTGGCCCGTTCACACCTATCCAGGAGAGTTTTCTGACTCGTCCACTGAAGGGTCAGAAAAACACTTGAATTGACCTTGCTCTGGATCTGTGGATCCTCCCATTACATTTCACATATTTGTGCAGCACAGAAAACACTCACGTGGTGAGCTCCGGAGTATTTTGGGAACCAGTAGGGTTCTGTGACCCAGACAAATGAAAAATCCAAATAGACATATGGACACGAGAATACAGGAATGTTTCCTGGGACACATAAACAAGGAGATCTCAACTACCAAGAAAGACCCTACATGTGCAGCTCTTCTGTGCAAGCAGCTGCCAGTGCCTGGCCCTGGCCCCTGGAGAGAAGGGCTGGGAATTCACCCCCTCATCCAGCAGTGCGAGTTGAGAGAAAGAGGAAAACCACCACAGGCTGCTGCTTGCTGATGTTCTTTGCTTCTTAGCAGAGGAAGCACCTCTCCAGCACTCTGGGATAACAGGGGGCTGGATCAAGGGCACTGCTGGGTCCAGGAGTCACAACTATCGCTGGGCTGAACACATTTGTGCAGCCTCCTGCTCCTAAATTTATTTCTACGTTAACAATACATCCTCTGCAGTTTATTTCTTCTGAAACAATGAGCCCATGTCTCCTCTTAGACTGTCACCTCTTTAAGCTTACTGCCAGAGCTTTGGAAACACATGGTAGATTGATGGGCATCATTTAAATATGAATCTGCAGTTATTTAAATGACAAGTTTATATATTAATTTTAAATAACTACAGGTGCTTACTCTGAGCACTGCTCATGTAGGTAATTTATGGTAATTTGCTGATGATAGTGCACCTGTGTTTTTATCAAACTTGTATTTACTTCCGAGATCTGAAGCAGAATCTCCAAAGGCACTTGCCTCATTAATGCCGTGCTGGGAGCAACGGGGTTCCTGGCAGAAACAGGAACAATTTTCCTTCAACTCTCACAAAGGTTTGTCCACACCAGAGCAGAAGTGACGGAGGCAAAGCTGAGATGAGGCACCAGACAGGCAATCCCTCACCTTTGCCCCCATTCCAGGCAGGGGCAGCATGGGGCTTTCCAAATCGGCAAAAGCCACCCTGGCTCTGTTCCAGGGCAGCATTTCCATTTTGCCTCCCCACATATTCACGTGTAAAATGAGGAGGAGGAGAAACCTACAGGATTTAAAGGTTAATTTGGAGGGTGAGCATAAGGTGTCCCAGGCTTTGCCACAGACACTGTACAGCACACAGCACTGCAGAAGAGAGTTTTGAGTTGGAAGAGCTTGGGAAAAAACCCCCAAGACAATATCAATTACATATTAGAGATTTCAGATTCCATAATCTAACTGTAGATGCTCATTTATTCTTTCATAAGCCTCTTTTCATCTTCTTTTACACAGAACACCACCTTTTAGCAACCTGCTAGTGGTAGGTCTTCACTCCTAGGTGTTCTTCAAATGTAATTATGCCAGCAAGAAACTGCACATCTGTGCAGTCACGTGTAGAAAACAAGTTATACAGAAGAGTCAGACAGCAGCTAGGTTAAATTTCATTAATGACAAGGCTGATGGGACTCAAATATTTCAACTATGCCTTTTATAATTCATCAAATTTTTAATAAACAAATATGCATATGGACAGTCCCACTGACTAATACATGATGTGCTTATCCTTTATTGGTTTCAACAGAGCTATGCATAAATGGAAGCACACATGTAGGTCTTGTCAGGAATGAGAGATTACTTCATTAAAATGTTAAAGAAATTCAAATTAAATACTCCAGCTCTGTTAGAGGCTGTGAGCTAACCTACAGGCTGTTTACACATACAAACCTATCTTGAGTACGAGACAAAACTTAATTTTCAACCACTACAACCACTCTGACTGAGCTTTTGTAAACTTTGGGCATGAAGACATATGCAAGCAATTTATCATTAATTTTACTGTGATACACCAAAGGTGTTTTGTGAGAAGTTCTAATTTGTCATATTAATTATATTGAATAATAAAGAGTACAAGACTGTTGTCCCAGGATAACCTGATCTTATATGCAGGAGGCTATTTGAGGAAGTATTGTTTTAAATTAAGTGTTTTCTGTTTCAAGGGCTTTTACCATTTTTTCTGGACTGTGTATTCATACATTAACCATTCTTAACCCATCGGTTATCAACTCCTCCCTTGGTCCAGGCTGGCTATCCATCCATAGCAGCCAGCTGATGCCATGTGCATTCCCTGCTGGCACCACTCCATGGACAAATAAATGCATTCAGCCCCTTGGACATAGCACAACTCATGTCCTTTATTCATGTCCTTTTGCTGATAGTGGGCATCTGGTACTTTTTTTTTTTTTTTTAAGTGTCAAAAAGGCTTAAGAGCCACTGAAAAAACATGGAGCTTTATCAAGAAATAAATATCACCACACATTTCTACGTTTCTATATTAACTATTTGATGTATTCCGATAGTTACACACAACTCTCCAAGCAATTAAGTTGATGATGGCAAGTGGAAGTTTCTAACAAATACGCCATCCAGCAGAGAAGAAAAACCCAAACCAAACCAAAACCAAAGGCAACAAACTCCCAAACTCAAACCCTTTTTCTCCTAAGAGCAGGAAAGCAATTCCACCTTCCGTACCCTTTACTTATAGAATCGTAGAATCGTTAAAGCTAGAAGAGACCTTCAAGATCACCAAGTCCAAACGTTTAAACCCAAACCTTCCTCAAAGCCCTTCTTCCTTAGGCACCTACTTCAACTCTTGGGATGGGAGAGCGAAGGGAACATTTGTAAAGAATTCCCGAGACACCCGACCCGCCTGCCCCGGCGCAAGCAGCGCCCGTGGAGAGCCGCCCACCCGCATCCCCACACACAGGCAGGACAGGGACACCCGGGACCCTGATCCCGCCTGGAGCCGCTGCCACCCACGGAAACCCTCCAGGGAGCCCTCCAGGCGGCTGAACCCTCCCCTCGCTCCTTCCCGCCCACCCCGGCCCCTCGGGAGGCTCCAAGGGCGCTCCCCCAAAGGCGCTGTGGGGAGCGCCCGGCGCTTCCCCCTCCCCCGGCTGCGGCCTCGCCTGGCCCTCCCCGCCCGAGCCCCGCGGCTGAGGGGGGCCGGGGCGGGGGCGAGGGCAGCGCCTCACCTGCGTGCCCGACTCCGCCCTGCGGGGCGCGTCACCCATGGCGGGCTCAGGGGCCGCCGATCCCGATCCCGCCGCCCAGCAGCGCCCCCGCCCGGCCGCCCCGTCTGCGCCTGCGCGGCTCGGCCCCCCGGGAGCGCGGGGTGGAGCCCGCGGGCTGAGGAGCCGCGGGTTCGAGTCCCGCCCCGGGCTCCACTGGCGGCCACCGGCCCGCCCATCCTACGTGGCTTGGGATTCCTTGGCTACCGCAAGGAGAATCACAGAATCAATTATGTTGAGACCTCTGAGACCATCGAGGCCAACCTATGACTGAACAACACCATGTCAACTAGACCATGTGGCACTCAGTGCCAAGTCCAGTCTGCCCTTAAACACCTCCAGGGATGGTGACCCCACCACCTCCCTGGGTAGCCCCTTCCTATGTCTAATCACCTTTCTGTGAACAAATTCCTCCTAATGTCCAACCTAAACCTCCCCTGGTGCAACTTAAGACCACGTCCTCTCGTCCTGTCACTGGCTGCCTGAGAGAAGAGGCTGACCTGCACATCATTGCAGCTGTTTATTTATTTTAAGGACCCATCTTTTTATAGGTTTTTGTGGGTTTTTTTTCCTGCTCCTGATGAAATGAGGCAGGTGGCTGGTTTGGTGTGACTCAGGGCATGCTCCTCTGTGACACTGGGGTAGCCGTGACTCAAGGGAAGCTCATTCGCGTGGCCGCAATTAAACTCTTGACGCCTTGGAATCTTTGCCAAAGCCAGCTATCAATTATGGCTTAAATTAAAAGGGATGTTTTAAATATGTCCCTGCAATGAACTGGGCTTGTGTGGTGCGTGACGCCCTGAGGCAGGAGCCGATGTCCAGCGAGTCCCTCATGTCAGCTCTGTGCTCGTGGCCGGCAGCAGGACCTGCTGCCCCTGAGGACTACGACCTGTCTGCTGATGTTGTGCCACCTGGGGAGGCAAGAGGGATGGGCACAGGGAAAGCATGGGAGAACCAGTTTGTGTTTTCCATAGGCTAAGTGCAAAACCAGCAGGATAAGAATAGCAGCTCCCATATCTGCATATCAAAGAGCTGTGAAGATATGATCTCTTTGGGTCTACAGAGGTTATCAGTGATACTGCACGTCCTTACAGTTACAAGGAGAAATTGGTGGTGGAGTTCTCTGTTCCTTCAAAGAAATCACATTTTCCTATATGAAAGAGTTTCTACTGGCTTGGTCCCGAATGCATCACAATCAGAAAATCTAACCTCAGATGCAAGGTGTCATCTTTGTTTACTCTTTCAACCCTTTTTCAGCCCAAAATACACAGCTCCAATTGATAACACCCTTTTGTTGCCATCTGACTAACTCAGGTTTCAGATGAATGCTTCCAGCCAGATTTAATCCAAGTCAAAGCTCTACTTTAGAAGTCCAGTCCTAATTCTGCTCATTACAGTACACAAGGGAGATGGTCTCTCTGCACAGCTGTAGTAGTAGCCTTTCTTCTTTTCTGTGTATGGACACACATGCCAAATTATCAAGAGCATGGAAGGTGGTTCTCTAGTGATATAGACTTGGATGGCTGCGTGGAGGGGACACATGGCACAAAAATGGAACTGCAATATTTTTGGTTTAATTGTACTGAAGGAAGTTTCTTTTCTGCCAGCATAAAGGACAGACAACTTTAAGAGCTGCACGTCTGCCTATTCTTACAGCACCTCAGTGGTCTGGGCCACTGGAAGAGTTCAAAAGACTTGTTAATTAGTAGTGATTGCCCTTGAAGCTGACTGATGAGTGACCTAGCCCAAGGACAGAGTGGACTCGCTGTGACTTACGACAAAGGCACTACTCACTGCATCAACTACATGGTTTGGGGTTTTTTTGATAAGTATACGTTCTTGGTTGCTCTTCTCCTCTAATTAAAGACATTGCACTAATTTCTTAAAAAGTGATTGCTACTTGAATTTAGGGCTGTAAAATATACAGATAAATGCCAGTTGACTGAAGCCCACTCCTACCTCATCACTTACTACTGTGAGTATCCCAGTAGGGTTCTATGGAAGCTCTTCTACTGCATGAGTGAACACGGTTTTGGTATTACAGTTTAATGCAAGATGAAGTGTCACAGTTCAATGGAGATCAACCAACATTCAACAGAGGGAGGGTAAAAGCATTGAATTCACCTGAGCAGTAAAAAAAAAAAGTATATTTAATTGCTTGAAATAGTAATGTGTTAATCAAATATACTGGTCACCTTGATAGGCAGATTGCACATCAGCAGTCAGCACTGCTGGCATCTTACCACATTTTTTAATATTTTATCAAAGCTGTCTATGTATTTCTCATTTTCACCTTTGTTGCTGTTGTTTATTTTCCTCGCTGCACAGTAAACCTCTGCATTGATCTTGCTCCTTTGGAGAAAAAGAGTAACATAGGTAAGGAGGAAAACCTTTTACTACTGGTTTCAGCAGAGCCAGGATTTTAATTGTAACCCTCTATTTTTGTGGGTTTGTGGTGGGCTTATCTATCTATCTATCATCTATTTATTTCTGATTAATTCTTTCATATTTTTCTGTAGCATTTCTCATCCAGGAGTACAGAATCCCACTTACTCCTTAATCTTCCTTCTTAAATAGCAGAAGCCTCCTTAAGTAGCTCATAGTACCCAGGGTCTCTATGCCCCAGCACACCTGTTTCTACAGGCAGAAAATTAGTCTTCCTTTGTTTGGCATGTGGGGAGCCTGAGGGTGCCCCCTGAGCCACAGGCACTGCTCATGTAGCAATTCAGCAGCAAGAGCAAGGACTTTTCTAACAGCAGAAAGATCAGACTCTAGGGGTGAGCATTTCTGTCTTTATGAAATGTGTATTCTGGAGAAAATTCCTCTTTCCTGACCTTGATTTTGAAGATTTCCCACACTGTATTTTCCACTGCATGTGTTTAAGACCTTCATCATAGGGAGAGAAAATGACAGTGCAAGAGAAGAAGGTATTTAAAGTGGAATTGCAGCCCTGGGCAAAATTATTTTTGATATTTTTTTCATTATTATTATTTGCTCATTCATACATTCACTATTGCTGATTTCAGCCAACAGAAGGAAACTGGGCTGGGTTCTGGGGAAGGAAGGACTAGCCCAGGTGCCCCGGGGCTGCAGAGAGCTGAGTCTACTGTTTATATAAACACTTAATTTCTTTTTAAGATGCAAAGTCCTAAATTTAAATTGCCAGTTGGTCTACAATAGTCTAAAGCATTACACTATTAGACTTTAGACTGCCAGTCTAAAGAACTAACACCCTGTCTTGGAACTGAGGCCTGAGGTAAGACCTTAAACGAAAGGGAAAAAGCATGAAAATACCCAATGTGGTGACAAGAAAGATTGTGTGAAGATGTTTACAAAAAAACACACCCAACTCATCGAACTTTTATATTTAATTAACAGCTAATTTAGACACTGGGAGGCCAATGTTTCCTCCTTTAAGTATTTTTCTCCAGCCGCAGAGAACTTGCTCCAACATAAGCTTCATCATTTTGAGCGTATTGTCACTTAATGTTCCCTCACAAGATTTGTGTGGGTGACATTCCTGCACAAACGAGCTCCAAACAGATCTTTCAGCTTGAAAACAGTTTGTCTCTGTTTGTATAGTTGAATTAAACTCTTTCAGTAAAGTCAGTTGTCATTTTCCTAATTAACCTCTAGACTCTTAAATACCTGCGCTTCAAAGGTGAGGAACCAACTCTCCCAAAAGTCATTAAACAGAAGAATCACTCCAAGAAATAAAACAGAGAGGCCTCATTTTCTAGTTGAGTCTTATCTACTCCTTTGTGTAGTAATGCTCAAACCTCAAAAGGTTTACCAGCTAAAGACCATCTCAAAGTTATGACCAGACCTCACAAAGAATTAATAATAATAATAATAATACTAGCAGTAGTGGTAGTAAGACTTAAGGTAGATGTTGAATCTCCATGTAGTGAACAGTCCATCAGATTATTTGCAAACTCTCTGTTGTGTGACTCCTCCAGTTTCACGTAGCAGATTTTGGTCCCGCTGTTCCAAGTTTCTTTCAGTGAATGAAGTGATCTGTCACTGGGTTTTATTAGATTTTTTTTTTAGAGCAGATGGCTGATTCTTTTTACCTGGAGAGCTGCCACTTTCTTTAGATACATCTCAGCTTTTACGGTAGTCTAATTTACCTGTTTATTTGAGAAATAAGTAACTTAAATTACAACAGGGTTATAATTTCACTGACCTCAGAAAAAGGTGATGGGTTTGCTACATAAATTTCCTGCATTTTGCTGGAAAAACAACAGAAACAGAAAAGAATTTCATCCTTTGGTAGCTGGACTGGTAGCCATGAAAAAGCAAGTCCAGGTCTTCATTCAGTTCTGGCATCTATGATCATAGAATCATAGCATGGTTTGGATTGCAAGGGACCTTAAAGTTCACCTAGTTCCAATTCCTTTGCCATGGCCAGGGACACCTTCCACTGGACCACGTTGCTCAAAGCCCCATCCAGACTGGCCTTGAACAGAGTTTCATAGCCAGTTGCTGAATATTCCATTTTACATTTCAGCTTGCAGATTTACATCAGAAGTAAACTTGCTCTGTGGAGCCATTCACCTGAATTTATGTCTAGATTTCTTATTTCTGCAGGTTGACTTCCATCAGCTTGTACTCTGAGCTGGAATTACCCCTTGTTTGTTTGTACCAGGTTCTTTTCCTGCTGCTTTTTCTGTCCTATCTGAATAATTCTGCACTGGCTTACCGAGAAGTAGCCAGGTATCCCTTACTCTGACATTAATCACACAGATAAGGACTGGTTTTGTATTAGTGACCTGGCCAGGGGTATTTTCTTGCTCGTGTTTGGGCACAGTGTAAGGTTAGCAATAAATAAACAAAGGCTTAACAGAGAAGAACACATGATTTGTAAAGCCACCTTCATAGCCAGCTGTGACTACAGATGAAGTTTTGTTTTGAGCACTTGAGCTCTGACCTGCAGCTCGTGGAGGGAGAGACCTTGTGTTTTGCCTCATGAACTTCCATCGCTGCTTGTACCACACTGACAGGAATGATGCAAATTTTGCCTCACTCAACATGCTTGTGAAAATGTTCTCCAC